CTCTAAACAAGAGGCTTCCAGCCCATAGATCATTGTTAGCTAAATCTACCTATTGTTGGCAAATCCACCTATTGCAGCAGCAGTTAATAAATGAAAAGATATATTGCATTAGAGAAATCTTCTGTCAAGGATCTCTTTGAAGTGCTAAATAATAATAATGTCAGCTTAAAAACTAAGGTATGCCTGATCCAAGTTATGATATTTTCACTTGTTTCCTTTGGGTCTTAAAGTTGGATAATGAAAAAGGAAGACTGAAAAAGAATCAGTGTTGGGGAGGGGGAAAGGGAGGAAATTGTACAGTAATGATAGATGTTTAAAACAAAAAAGAATATGAACTGGGGGAGGGGGAAGGTAAGGAAACAAAGGAAAATGTGAAACAATAAATGAATAAAAAATCCAACATTCTTGTAAAAAACAAAGATGAAGCAGCATATGGATAAAAATACAGATTAAATAAGAAAAACAAAAAAAATGAATCAATTTCTTTGTATTACGCTGTTTGTAAAGAGTTTTGAATATAGCATGGCATGCCAAAAGAACAACAACAACAAAAAAAATCTGTCTTGGAGCAAGTGCAACCATGGTGCTTATTAGAGGCAGAGATGAAACTTCATCTCACATATTTTGTGCATGTTTTAAGAAGAGACCAGTTCTTGGTAAAAGACAACATGCTGGGAAAGATAGATGGTTGAGGAAGAATAGAAACTCCCCCAAAAATGTGAATCTGTGCCTCATTTTTCATTTCTCAGGGTATATCCCAAGCATTGGAATAACTGGGTCACATGGAATTTCTGTGTTCAGCTTTTTGAGAAAGCACCAAACTGCTTTCCAGAGTGGTTGTACCATTTTATAATCCCACCAACAATGTATAAGAGTTCCTATCTCACTACATCCCCTCCAACATCTATTACTTGCTTCCCTACTAAACTTTGTCACTGCTAGTAGGGTAAGATGGTATATCATTGTGGTTTTAATTTGTATCTCTCTTTTTGCCAGTGTTTTAGAGCATTTCTGTTGCCCATCCGAATAGCTTCCTCTGTGAAAAACCCTTCCATGTCTCTTGCCCATTTTGTAATTGAATTATCAGTCTTTTTCTTCTTGAGTCCCAGGAGGATTCTGTAAATTTTGTTATGAGATCCTTGTCTGAGATAGTATTGCCAAATGCTTGTTACGAATCAGTAAGTTTTCTTTTTATCCTGTTGGGAAAAGTGTTTGATAGACACAGAAATGTAAACTTTAGAAGGTCTTACTCATCAATTTTATGCTCTTCAGATTGTGAATTTCTGGCTGTATTTGGCAATCCCTTTATATAATAGATTAGGACTTCTAAGGTTGATCTCAGGTTGTCTCTTATGAACATTATGGTTTATAGGCTTTATTCCCAGGTCTCTGATCCACGTTGATTTGATTTTTGTGTATAGTATGATATATGGATCCTCTTTTAGCTTTCTGCTGTTAACAGTCCAGTTTTGCCAACACCATTTATTGAAGAGGTTGTCATTTCCCCATTTGATAGGATTCATTTCCTTGTTGAATATCCATTGATCATCGATAGCCGGATCCGTGTCTGGATACTCAGTTCTGTTCTATTGGTCTACGTGCCTGTCATTGTACCAGTACCATTCTGTTTTAGTTACTACCATTGTGTCATAGATTTTGAGGTCAGGGAGTGCTATGTCTCCTACTTCATTTTTGTTTTACAGAGTGCTCTCCTTATTTGGCATCTCTTTCCTCTCCAAATAAACTTAACAATTTCCCTTTCCATCTCCTTGAAAAATGAACTTGGTATCTATATTGGAATTGTGTTGAACTTGTAGATTGCTTTTGGTAGGATTTTCATTTTCACGCATTTTTCAATTTCATTAGGTTTTCTATTGTGTCTTACAGAAAAGTTCTGCAGTTTTCTTTATATAGGTCTTTTGTGACACTGGTTAGTTTCACTCCCAAGTATTTCAATTTGTGGTTGGCTGTTGTACATGGCATTGCTTTCTTGCTGTCCTTCTCTGAGTTTGTTACTGTAGAGAAATCTCATTGACTTTTTTAAATAGTGATAATTTTACCATCTCTTTGCCAATCAGGATGCTTGTTATTTTCTTCTCTAATTGTATTGCCCCAGCAAGTACTTCAAATACAATATTGAATATAAGTGGCGACAGACAGTGGTCATCATTTTCTGTTCCCTGTTCGCAAAGAAAATGCTTTTAGCCTAAAATGACCAACGACAATGTAATGGATTGAAATATTATGATACAGTCACACAATGGAATACTAGATAGCATATCAGAGCAATGATTTTGAAAATTACTACCTAATGTGGGAGGGACTGGAGAGCATTTTGATAAGTGAACTAACTCAGTCTCATAATGAAAAATATTGTGTAAGATCATTATTGTAGAAAGAGAATGTGGATCCAAGGAGGGTAGAGGGTGGATTAATCATGTTGTTGTTATATGCCATTGAGTCGCTTGCAACTCATAGTGAACCTATGTACAACAGCCCTAAACCCTGCTCTATCCTTTGCAAATCACACTGCCTCTGACACACCCATCCTGGTTACCCCAGTCACTGATTCAATCCATCTCATAGAGGGTCTTCCCGTCCTACACTGCCCCTCCACCCTCTCAAGCACGATGTCCCTCTCCAAGGACCTGTCTCTCCTTACAATATGTCCAAAGTATGTCAGACAAAGCCCCATAATCCTTGCCTCCAAGGAGTAGCTTGGTTTAACCCTCTCCAGGATGAATCTGTTTGTTTTCCTAACAGTCCATGGTACCCTCAGCACTCTTCTCCAGCACCACAGCTCAAACGCATCAATTCTCCTTCTATCCTCCCTAGTCATTGTCCAACACTCCAATGGATAACAAGTTACTGAAAAGACCATATCCTGTATCAGATGCATCTTAGTCTCCAGAGTGACACCATTGCTCTTTAGTACCCTGGAGAGGTCCCTAACAGCAGACTTTCCCATCGCAACACATTTTGCTTGCATGTGAAATCAATGATATTGTTCTATAGTTTCCACACTATGTTGGGTCACCCTTCTTCCAGTCAGTTGGCCAAGTAGTTGTTCTCCAGATTTCTTGACACAACTTGGTGAGCACATCCAGGGCAGCATCTGTTAGCTGAAATACCTCAATTGGTATACCATCTATTAAGGGGGCCCTTTTTATGAAGAGTGGAGGGGAGGAGTGAGTAAATGAAAGGGGAAAGATCCAATGTGAAAAACAATGTATACAAACTTTGTAAGTAAACCAGTATAAAATTTTTTAAAAGTGTGGGGAAAAAAGATGAATTAGCACAATGATTACAACAATGGGTTTGAGCAAGGTAGAGATAATGAGTAATATGCAGAATAATGTTGTTTTTATTTTTAGGTGCCATCAAGTTGACTACAACTCATAGCAACTGTATGAACAACAGTATATTGCCTTATCTTAAGCCAACTTCACGATCCGATCCCCAACACACCTGACCCCATTGTTACATCCAATGTGTGAACCCATCTCACCCAGGGTCTTTCTCTCTTGCACTGACCTTCTACCCTTCCAAGCATGATGTCCCTCTCCAGGGACTGGCCCCTCCTGACAACATCCCCAAAGTATTTGAGATAGTGTTTCAAAATTCTTGCCTCCAAAGAGCATCCTGCTTTCACCCTCTATAGGGTGAAATAAGCATACTTATTTGCTTTCTTGGCATTCCATGGTATATACAGTACTCTTGTCTAGCACCACAATTCAAAAGCATGATTTCTTCTTCTGTCATCTTGTCATTGTCAAGCTCTCAGATTCATAGCAAGCAATTGACCGTGTCTTGCATCAGGTACACTTTAGTCTTTAGATTGACCTTGTTGTTCTTTTGCATTCCGAAGAGATCCTAGACAGCAGATTTCCCCCAATGAGTTGTCTTTTGATTTCCTGACTGCTGGTGTAAAAAAAGTTGATGAAGGATTCAAACAACATGATATCATTAACAGCTTTTCAACATTTTCTTTGCAGGATAGGGCAAGATTTTTATCTATTGTAGGTAGTTCATAGGAGGGGTCGCTGTGTGTTAATAGCTGACTCCAGGGGATCTAACAAAACATCATTATCAGGAATATAGCTTCTAGAATGATGGACTCTGTGTCAAGGAAAAGGTAGAGTTCTTACCCAGCCTTGTTAATTGTTATTGAGTCAAGTCCCATGTGTGCAGAGTAGAATTGCTGAATAGGGTTTTCAAGGCTGTAACCTTTCAGAAACCAATCACCAAACTTGCTTTGAACTCTGATTAGGGTCCAGTGAGCACCCTTTAGTTAGAAATCCACTGCTTAGCTAATGTTTTTTGCAATCTAAGAAACAAAGAAAGCTATATTTTAATTTTTTTAAATCTCAGAACTATATATATTTACATTTTTCATGCTTCAGAGAGAGCTACATAAAAAAACAAAACTTTTTTCCCTTTTGCTGCCAGAGTAAAGGGCAGAATTTTTATGTTTGATAAATAATGATAACCAAGTTAAAAAACTTTCAATAAAAGTGCCCTTTGGAAAGAACAGATTAGAGGTGATGTATAATTGAGTATTATGGTTAGCACAGGAATCCAGAATTAAGGTTGCATAAGAAGTGTATTCGGGGTGGGAGGTGGGGAGGAAGGGATGGGGGAATTGTATACTAATGAAGGAATTTTTTTTTCTTTTTCTTTTCAGAGAGGGGAGCAAACTGGTGGGGAGGGGTGGTCAGGGAGAAAAGTGCGGCAATGAATGAATGGAAATCCAAAACCTCTGTAAATGTCTATTAAAATTAATAATAAAAAACATTAACAAAATTTTTTAAAAGTGCCCTTTGAACCACCATTTCGCAAAAATAAGATTTTTTTTGTTCATCTCAGAATAATTGATTCAAACCTATTTCACTTTGTATTAGAGAACTTCTGTCTTACAGTGAAGATTTGTTGCCACAAATCATTCTTTAATATTCTTACACACTTGTTTTTGTTTTGTTTTATTTATGTGAACATTTTAGGTGTACCAATATATGCATGAAACGATAACTGTCAATGGCTGTCCCGAATTCCGAGCCAGGGCCACGGCAAAGGTAAGGCTTGAATAACTTTAAAAATATACTTGACCCCAGTGATCTAGTAATTGACTGTGCGCGTGTGTGTTTCAGGTATTCTCGTGTGTACACTGTAAAAGAATTTAGACATCAGTGGCAGCCCAGAGTCTAGACCAGTACTACTTCCCAGGTAAAAATCCTAATGGAAAATTGAACGTTTCTGCTGCTTCTGTAGCTTAAGAAAGGAGAATGATTTCATTAAGCTCACTAAATATCCATTTGGCACAAGCAAATCTACTGGTTCATTGTGTGAAATACTACATGGCTTTCTGGCATGTTGCACTGATACAAAAGAAACCCTATTCAGTTCATTGAGGCCCCCCCCCGCAAGTATAAATATTTTAAGTGAGACATGAAAAGGATTCACCCGACATCCATTTACCCAAGATTTCCTTGTGCATCCACCTGAGCAGTGGGGCTTGCTGAAAGAATGTAGCATTAACTTAAAAGCAAACCAGTCACTTTTTGTGGTGGTGACCACATTTTCTTTTTAAAAACTCAGATTCAGGGTTTGTGGAGACACTACTGGCTGATACATTAAAACAAGAGGATCATGAAATTACTAGGAAAATAGACCATTAGGAAACAATAATTTTAAATAAAAACCCAGCTTCAGTTCTTCTTTTCCCAATTCAAAATTGCTGTAGTAAATATCCAATTTGCTTTTTAAAAGCTTTTACCTTTATAATAAGCCATAAGAGCTGTTGCAAATAATCATAACTTTCCCTTTAGTCATTTTTATGTGTTACATCACCTCTTACTTGGTTTCTCTCCTGATTTTTCCTCTTTATTCTGTATTCGAACTATAACTGAACACTGTAGATTTGTAAATTATTTCTTTTGTCTTGTTTTCAACCCTGACTCAAAAAAAAGAAAAAAGAAAGATATTATTGTCATTACATCATGCTTTGCTTGTACTGAAGTGGAACATAGTCAGAAAAATGATCCCTACATGGTTTAATTAAGGGGGAAGTGAATTATGTAGTGTTTTACCATTCTCATTTCTTATTCATGTAGAACAGCAGGATAGCAGCATAATGTTGCAATAGCACAATATTTTCTGGTTGTTTCTGGGCTGTCTGCATTGCATCCATGTCAGCCATTAAAATCTGTGCATGACAACAAGGTTTGCATGAGCAAATGCATGTAGAAAAAAAAAGCGCCAAGTCATTATTTCCACGTCATTCACTCTCTTTCACTAAATGCAGACAGTAGCATAATGCTAAATTGATGTGATAATGCTGTGTGTGGAAAAGAATGTATAGTAGTTTGGAATCAATATTTTCACAGTGTTGAGTAAATCACTTTATAGTAGGCACCTAATCAACTGTGGTTAAGGAAGGTTAATGGAAGTGGAAAAGAAAAAGCAGGCAGAGAATCTTTTTTGATAGAAACACTTAAATACTGCTATTGTATTTCCATGGGGAAGTGAGGGGCATAGCAGGCACTAATGGTAAGTTATCTTCTTAAACTTATGTAAAGAAATGGATAGCTTCATTTTAAAATAAAATTCCAAGTGCACATTAAAAATATTTTAGATATCAAAGTTTAAAACTAGTGATAATCTGAACTTGTAGATTATTTTATATCAAACATTGTCCATGGTGCATAATTTGCTATCGTAAGTTAAGAGATGAAAATAGAGAAGCAAGCCTATGCATTATAAGAGGAAGTCTCATTATAGTTAGTGTAGGGAACTCTGGTGGCTTTATGGGTAAAGAGTTGCACTACCAGCCAAAAGGAACATGGCTCAAATCCACCAGTTGATCCACAGGAGAAAGATGGGGAATATTCAGTAATAATATTTACAGTCTCTGTATAAGCTCTGAGTCAGCATATAACATAGATTCAACAATATAAAACAGTGATTTTTACTCATAATAACCTGTTTGACTCTTATCATTTAAGTTTTTGTTAATTTGTTTTAGGCAATCTTATTATGAAAATAGTGTGCTAACTTGATGTCCTTGCAGTAGAAAGATATATATAAGTATATTGTAATTGCTTCTCTGTTTATTGAATAAATACTTATGAACATTTCTAAAATACTTATGAATATTTATAATCAAGCAACTAGCTAGAGTGGTTTGTCAAACAGTGAAGTTTAAGACAATTCCAACCCTTGAGGACTGCATATATAACATGTCCAAAATCATTATTGTACCGAAATACTAAAGGCAATTTGGTCATAGAGAAGGATCCTTGAGAAGAGAAAATTTTGTCATAATGGATAAAAAAGGTCTATCACTCTGTGAATGGCTGGGTGGAGCCTTATGAAAGGAAGAAATCTTAGTGGCATCTAGAAGGAGAAAAGCCCCTTGTTAGTGTGTTCTTTCTTTCAAAGAAAAAAGAAAATGATGATAATACCATAGTAATATGAGGAGTTATCTGATGGACGACCACAAAGCATATGATTAGGCTTGTTTCCCTCATTTTGTTACCAAATGACCATCTTTTCTTTCAGGCAACAGTTGCAGCGTTTGCAGCTAGTGAAGGCCATTCCCACCCTCGGGTAGTTGAACTACCAAAAACTGATGAAGGCCTTGGCTTCAATGTGATGGGAGGAAAGGAGCAAAATTCCCCCATTTATATCTCTCGCATCATCCCTGGAGGAGTGGCCGAAAGACATGGAGGCCTCAAAAGAGGAGACCAGCTGCTCTCAGTAAATGGAGTGGTATGTTCATAACATAATGGGAGATTCTCTCTTTTTTTTTATGATTCTGTTGTCAATATTGAAATACAAGGACAAGTCATATTTTTCTGACAAGTCATAATTTTGTGTCCAAAATGCTTCCTAGTTTTTGATCGATGTAAAAACCTATACAATCAGTCATTTCATATTTTGTTTCATTTTATCTTGTTCACATGTTAGAAGTATGAACGTATTTAAAAAATCATCCTAAGAAATTATCCCAACTAATAATGTCTCTCCATATAGCATTCTAATTGAATGCATGACAACATAATTACTTTATTGTTATTTTAAGCAAATGTACATATTTAGAAAAAGGTAAAGCTCATTACTTTATGTTATGTTTCTTTGTTTTGTCCTGTTTTTAATTTTAATAAAAGAGAGAAACTTTAGCATGTAAATAATAATACCACATATGCAAGACTTACTGATATACAGAGAATTTATTAATCCTTGCCTAGAGCCAATGTTAGATGGCTCATAGCTGAAAGTAGAGAGTACCAGAGGAATGTCTATCTTTGTTTCATTGACTACGCAAAGTCATTTGACTGTGTGGATCACAACAAATTGTGGCAAATCTTGAGAAGAATGGAAATACCAGAACATTTTACTTGCTCATGTGAAATCTGTACTTGGACCATGAAGTAGTCATCAGAACAGAATAAGGAAACACTGAAAAGTTCAAAATCAGGAAAAGAGTGTGTCAGGGATATGTCCTATCTCCATACTTTTTCCATATATATACAGAACAGATCATTTGGGAGGTTAGGCTTTCAGGAAGAATGTGGCATTAGGGTTGGAGGAAGACTCATCGACAACCTGAATTATGCAGGTGACACAATCTTATTTGCTGAAACTGAGGATGTCCTGAAGTGTTTGCTATAGAAGGTTGAGGGCTACTGTCTTCAATATGGATTGAAGCTCAACATCAACAAAACATTCTCACCACTGGGCTGATTTGCAGCATCATGATAGATGGAGAAGAGATTTCAGCTTCTTAGGTTCCACAGGCAATACTTTTGCACCATTAGTCAGGAAAGCAAAAGACAAATTACACTGGGAAAATACATTGGGAAACTCTCCAGAGTTCTGATGAGTAATCTTGTCAGTCTAGAGACTAAGGTGTGCCTGATCTAAGCCATGGTCTTCACAATAACTTGCTAAGTATCAGAGAGCTGGACAATGATGAAGGATGATAAAGGATTCAATGTCTCTGTGCTGTAGTGCTGGAGAAGATTGTTGAACATACTATGGACTGCTAAGAAAACAAATCTTTCTGAAGAGCGTGAAACCAAGCTGTTCATTGTAGGTAAGGATTTTGAGGCTCTGTGTGACATACTTTGGCATGTGGAAAGGCGGGACCAGACCTTGGAGAAACAGATCATGCTATGAAGTGTAGAGGGACAACAGAGGAAAGGAAGAGATGAGATGGATGTTAGTAAGACTGGCTCAATATCATTCAGGGGTCAGAGCTAGGGTTGCTATGAATAGCAAGCAATCTGATGGCACATAACAACAACAACACCATAACTACAATATAATAAAAAGTATTTTACCCCCCAAAAAGTTTAATGGAATTATTATTTATCACAAGTATTTTAGTTTCAAATTAAGGTGACAGTCCACAAAGCGTAGGTTTGGTATAGTCAACTTGGTGGCACATAACAACAATTCAAAGTGAGATGTGCTGTTAATACAAAGGCTTCCTTTCCTGGCTGTTCCAATTTACCAGCAGCTCCTGTGGAGAAAGATGAGTAATCTGTTCCCATATAATTCATATCCTCTGAACCTAACAGAAGACCAGCTATGAATCAGAACCAATTCAACAGCAGTGAGCATGAAAATACACAGAACTTAACATTTTTTTTACTGTGATTTGAGTAAAAGTTTGCAGTGCCAATTGGTTTTTTATTCAACCATTCATACACATTTCTGTTTTAAAATGTTAATTATAATGCTTGTAATTCTTCCCATTCCCTTTCTGTAATTCTTATTTCCATCAATCCTCTGTCCTCTTCTTTTATTTATTCTTTTTTTAGGACAGCTCTTGAAATGTCTTTTTTTTAAAAAATTGGTTTGCATACACTAAATTGTTTACATTATGTTTCATTCATGTACATTGTGTTTAATGCAATCATTCATTGACATTGTGTTTTATACATTCATATACAATGTATTTTATATACTTAATTCATTACTATTGCCTGTTGTTACCCCACCTTTTGGAGTTTCCATTGTATCTTTCCTATTCCTTCCCACCCACCCTCAAGTCACCCACTAAACTCTACTATCCTAGTGATTTCTACCTTCCCCTTTTCCACCTTCTTCTCCCTTTCCACTTCTGGAAATTTATAGACATTTCACTAGTTATCCTTCTATTTTTATAAAAATTATCTTTTTTTAAGATGAATGAGTGCAACAGCATTTCTCTTCAATTTTGTCATTTCTGGAATAATTGATCATAATTGTCTCATTTCAAATAGCCAGTTCCAGTCCATTTCAGCTCACACCTCCCACCCCCACCCCCAGTTGGATCTTCATGCTCGTTCTACAATAATGGTTTTACATACTATTTGTCCTTATGGGACTGAGTTCACTAAGCATAGTGCTCTCCAGTCCCTTCCAAGCTAGGTAATTATTGCTCCTGTGTCCTGCGTAGTGTTCCATTGTGTGAATGTAATCTCCCTTTCTTCTGGGTTTTATTCTTAGGCCAACACTGCTCTCTTTCACTTTATATAGTTGGTTATTCTAAGGAGTGTGTCTCCTTGATGTTATGTCAATGTCTAGACCAGTCTCTTGTTTACCTGAAATTGGAATTGAGCAAGTGAGTGACTAAGGGCTTTAGTTGAAGATGCTCCGTAAGTCTCTATCAAAAGGAAAATGCATGTAGAATATGATAGTTTGTTGGTAGTTGTGAATGATGTGTTTTTTTTAGACTTGTGAATTTTATTTTTTATTTTTATTCTGACTATTCTCTGTCACCCTAGTGTGCAAGGAGTTACTCTGCCAACCCAAAAGTAAGTGGTTTGAAGCCACCTGTTGTTTCAAGGGAAAAAGATGGACAGGTTCCTCTTATTCAACTTACAGCCTCTGAAAGCCCACTGAAGTGTCATCTATGAATTGATTCCTACTTAGTAGCAAAGAGTATGAGTATTGGTTTAATGAAAGGGCAGTGGTAATTCAGTGGGAGAATGTGTCTGACACGCAACCTTGATCTGTTTATTAGTAAAGGCTTGAGTGTGACTATGATGCTTAACAGGTCATCCAGAGTGAGCTCGACTAGGAATAACGGCTTGCCAATCTCTTCCAAAAATCAACTGGAAAAAAAAAACCCAACAGAAATACGCTGTGGATCACAATGGTCCTATCCATAAGGATCAGGAGGATGTCAAAAAGCAGGTAGCCTTTAAGGTTCATTATATATGTGATTCCATTGTGTATGGAGTTTCATTGTAGATGGAGTTTCATATGAGTCAAGGACCAATAAAAGTTGGCCTACTCAACCGTTGAACTAGTCTTTGAATTCTTCCCAGTTTTTCTCAGATATAAATCAACAGTCCATGAATATTTCATTTATTTAGCATCCCAATTTTAGAATTGCTTATTTCATTTCCTTTTCTTAAGTGTAATAATGGTTTCAGATGACCTTCTATTGTAACTTAACTATGTTTTTATTCTGAAGCTTGTTATCATTGATCATCCTGTAGTCAGAATTTATGGTCGAAGGCTCCAGAATGAGGTCATTTAATTATGTTATACAGTTATCCATGCCTCATGTATGAATTTATATCTTCTCTGAACAAATACATATAGATAGATACAAAGAAAGCATAGATTTAAAACATTACAAAATATTCCCTGAAAGCACAGATTAAAAACATTGCAAAATGTCCCCAAAAACTCAGAATAAAAAAAAATACAATGTATAATCTGATAACAAATGTGTATAAAATCAATTTCATAGTTGGTTGGTTTTGGAGTATTTGTCGAGGAAACTAAGCAAGTTAAATAGCCCTTCTTTAGAGAGTACATTTTAGGGAACACAGCTGTCGACATTTCACAATCAGTCATCCATTCTTTGCACTTTCCTTGAAAAATGCCTAGTAACTACAAGGGGTTTAGGAACTAGGGAGTCAGGCATGAAGATTCAAATCCACCAGCAACTCTGAGTGAGAAAGATGGAGAATCTCTTTCTGTGAAATTTGAGACCTCTAACTCCAATGAGTGAATGACTGATGGGTTAATATCCTCCAACCAACAGTGCTCTCTCATTGTCATTGAGTGGAACTGATTCACAGCTGATGCCCCAGCAGGTCCTGAAGCTGTAAAGTACACAGAAGATTTCTTATTTCTTTCATGGAGTGGCTGGAGTATTTGAACTGCTGGAGAAGTGCCAACTTCCTCCATTGTGGTTTACAGCCTCGGAAATTCACCAGAGGGTCAGCTATGAATTGAATCCGACTATGGCAATGAGTTGGGTAAACAACAGCATTCTTATTCCTAAAAGATGAATACTAAATCCATTGAAAATACACTTGATGAGACAGTATTCTAGCATCAGAATTTTCTTGCATCAGGCTCTCAGGAATACTGGCAGAAAGAAATAGAAGCATTTGGTGATTAAGACTTGGCACTAACTCTGTCATATAAGGAATGGGCATACTTCCAAAAATATTTAACATTTCACATATTTAAATTCCATTATGTTATCTATCATGGTATTTTATGGTAAATTTATCATGTTAACTTTTCTAATTAAAATCTATTTGACAAATTTTTACTAATAAACAAAGTATAATTTATTCATTGAGATAGGTCTAACAAATATTTTATAGTACCCACTAGAGTTTAGTAACTTTTTTTAATTTTAATTTTATATTTGTTTGGTTATAAAGTTCATTTACATTGTGTTTCACACTATCTTTCATTCACATTGTGTTACTTAATAAAATTAATCACCTTTGAACTATGCCCACCATTAC